CCTGGCAATTCGAAGTTGGGAAAAAAGAGCCTTAGAGATGATAAAATCGAGCCCCTCTCTTGCCCCAGCCCGTTCCTGCCCCCATCACTTTTTGCCATGTTACCCTGGCCTAACACGAACGCTCAGCTCCCCTCAGGCTCAACTTGAATATCTTTGCTCCTGAAAACGCACAACGTCCTGTAGACACTGCCATTCCAAACCACGATTACCCAGCCAGCGTTAGGTGTGCTTCAGTGGACGTCCATTGCGTATCTCCTTTGTGCGAAGCACTAGGGGCCAGAGCTCTTCATCTGAGGTAAAGAATCTGACCGCCGTTTACCTGCAGGTTCTGCCTGCCTTCGAGGTTTACAGAGCATGGCTCTGTGGCGAAACTGGTCCTGTGTAAAGTCAGAATATTCTGCAGCACTTCCCCAAAGGCCCTCCCCCCGCAGCCTCCTCCCCCACCACCCACCACATCCTCAGGCCTTTTATCCAAAAAAGGAGCCCAAATTCTTGCGCCAAGAGGTTTTGTGAATTTTCACTATTATAGCTAATTGCCTGGAGACACTCGTTTTCCAGATCTTTCAAAGTGTGATCCACAGAGCTGGATTCTGAGCTCCAGCTGACTGAGTCCTGAGTACTTACTCTTAACCAGTCCATTCTAGTGCCTCTGACGAAAGGGGGTCTCTCCTCCTCCTCCTCCTCCTCTCTCCAGAATGCCCCTTCCTCTGAGAACTCCTATTCATCCTGCAAGGCCCAACGGAGCAGCGTTCCTTTTCTCTTAACCACTGCACCCAGAGGAGATGCCTCGGCCACCCTGGAGGACGTTGCTTGTACCTGTTTTCATTCAGCACTTCTCCTTATATTAAGATTAAGACCCCTTTACCTATGGCACGGGTATAGCCTCCTTGTAGAGAAACAGTTCCCTACAATTGTCTAATACTAACTACCTAGAGTTACTGACGCTCTCCAAATGGATGCTGAGATTGTGTTAAGATGAGCCCATAAAGGATTTACAAAGATAGAGAGAGGTGTGGATGGGGCTGGGCCTTCAACACTTGAGTAGGAGCTGCCCCTGGACCAGGCGGCCCTGGTAAGCTGCAGACAGGACTCCAGTCTTAACCAAAACTCAGTCAAGACGTCAGGGAGGACGAAGATCCTAGGCAAGAAATGTTAAAATGGCGTCCATCCAGAACAGAGTCCAGAAAGAAGCTGGGAAAGGAGGAACCCAAAGAACTGCTGATGGGTCTGTCCTCTGGAGATAGAGCCCAGCTACAACCAAAGCAGAGATACTCAGATAAGGCCAGCGGGCTCTGGGAACAAGCTCTGTTCAATGACAGCAACAAGAATCTAGGCCTTAATTAAGTCAGGTTGTTTTATATTTCTTATCTTTCCTGTCCGGGTATCCAGGAAAGTTCCAGGCTGTCTTACGTGTCCCAAGATGAACTCAGGGTGTGGTTTTATCCACTCTTGAGCCTGCAGACTAGAATATTATCTGTCCACTATGGAACCATTGGGTGAAAATGGTAGCCTAAATGAAAGGACCCTCTACATGAAGGTACGATTAGGGGACAGCAAGAACCGTGGCATCCAGCCTCTCTCTCTTCCACATCAGACAATTCTGTGGTTGTACTACCTTCTAAAATTTCCTGAGAACTTTGTCACTTTTCTCAATGCAGTGTGCACACGTGCTGGAAACACAATAGAAACCCAGACGTTTGCCAACGGAAGGAATGAGGTCATGCATGGGTTCCAAAGTTTTAAGGCCACTCAGTCCAACCCTTTTCCCACCCGTGTATTCATTTGTCCACACAGCGCTTTATAGGTAGTAATAAAATTCATGCAACGAATGCACTCGATTGCCTACAACAGTTTGATGCTGTGCTTTCAGGAACAACAAAAACAGACTGGTCACTGGTACAATGAATGTGCACTGAGGCGCCTCCTGGGCCAAACACTGTGAGGCTCCGACGATGTGCAATGAGTAAGACGCCCATATCACCCCAATAAATGCAATTAGAAAACATGTTTCCCAGTCCAATAGGTGAAACGTGATATGTCCTTGTTGATTTAATTTGCTCTTCTTTAATTAACATTATCAGCTGTTTTTGCTTTTCTATGAATTATCCTACATCTTGTCAATGTGTGAAACAAAGGGAACAAATCTTTACCATACTTGCTGTAAATGTTTTCCTTTATTTTGTCATTTGCCTTTTGACTTCAGTTGGGTTTTCACAAAAATTTTAAATTGTTTAAATTGTCAAGTTTAAAGTAAAATTTTTAAGAGATCAAATTTATCTAATTCCTTTTTATGGTTTCTGGGGTTTTTTCTTCCCCAACTTAGAAAGATCTCCATGACTCATCGTACAAGTCACCCATGTCTTCTAGCAGTTTTATGATTTCAGTTTTTACCTTTAAGTAATACACCATCTGGAACACAGATTAAGAATTAAGAATGATATTTAGCTTTATTTTTTTTTTCAATCTAAATGACTAACTAGTTTTCTCAGCATCGATTATTAAAGACTCAATTTTTATTAGAAAAATAAAAATAAAGGACACACATAACACCTTAGGGGACTTATGGAAAAGATAAATGGACAAGCACCTATAAAACTGTCTAAAATAGAAAACGTTAAATGTTTTCAAAGGTATAGAGATAAAGGATATTGGGAGTCAGAGGTCAAAAAGAAAAACCAGGGTTTCAAAAGATCTTATAGGGCACTGCCATTCAGAAAGGGGACAATATCTGTGATTTCACCTTAGAGTCCAGGAATGAAGGCTACTAGTTTCTAGCAGGAGCAATTAATGGAAATGACTTTGTAGGTTTAGATGAAAATCAATATTCTATTCTCATATCTTTAATGACAGTGGCACTGGGTTTTGCAGAGCAAGAATATAGATCAATTCTCCTTTAATGAAGACCATAAGTGAAACTGAGCTCTTAAATGACAAAGTCATTTTCACGTGTGAGTACAGAAACACAGGCTTATGGATCTGAGTAATAATAAAATATACGTGAAGAATAATCCTGGACGTATAGGTAAGTCTTACTTAACAGTAACTCTAGCAAATAAATTCCATTATTTACATTGTAAACGAAGAAAGTGAAAATTAAGGTAATATATAGCTAAAAAATCACATTTCTTTTGTCCTGTAATCAAATGAAATTTATCTTTCAGTTTCTTTTATATATGCTACTTTAACTTCTCCAAATACTTCGAAATGCACCCCATGAAAGCTGTTTCCTTCAAGATAACACACTGATTTGGGGATAAGAAGACTTCGGAGCGAGGCCTGGCTCTACCACCAGCTACATGAATTTGAGCAGGTGAATTCTCTGGCCTAAGTTTTCCCATCTATAAAATAAGTTGTTAGAACAAATAACCTCTAAGATCCCCCTGGGCGTAACAAATGGACTAGAAAAGCCTAGCTCTACTCCCAAACAATCAACCAAAACAAAAAGTTTCAAAACAAATATTAAAGGAACTTAAGGACGTTTCACCTTTTGCTTCATTCAACCAACTTACTTATGAATTTCGTAACAGCAGTTAGATTGAGCAGTTTCATTTCTAGTAGTTACAGACTGGGAAAAAAATGACGTCTATCAATTTACTCTGTGACAAAATACTCTCTAGGTCCCTAAGGAATCTTTCACAGAATTTTGCCTTCATTGAAAAATTAAACATTCGTAAGCCTTCTTTGTGAATTTCAAAAGGTTTCTACATCCATGTGTTCCATTTCAGCCATGAATTTCTTCTGTTCATTGCACATTACTTGCCCTTGGTGTATGTTTACAATCTTTTCAATTGGATCCGAATACGTAATAAATCCATTTGGCCATCTGTATGGAGTCTATAACCATCCTAGTTACACTGAAGAACCTATATGATACCAATAGACCTATCGGGCAAATTTTCTGAGGCTACACTGTATGGAAAGTGCTGAAATGACTATAAAGACAGTAACGAACTTTGTTTCTTTACCACTGCCTTCAATTTTCGGAGTCACGGAGAAAAAATATTCTGTACTTCAAGATAATTTGAACTTACATTAAGAAAACCTAACTACTGTTTTAAGGGTAAAGCCCTGTCTTACACCTCTACAGTGTTGAATTTTTTAGAACGCTAGTTGATATTACCAAAGCAACAATTCCAGAAAATAACCATACTACTGTATTCAAGCAGCATTCCTATGAACATTAGCTTCGTCAGCCTAATTTCTGCATATTAACAGAAACGAAATTAAATCAAAAACGCTTTTGTCTGAAAAGTAAGGGAGAATGCTAACGGCGGGACAATTGGCTTCACTTCTGCAAATTAAGCAAAATTAAAGCAAAAAGAAAGGAAGCAAGCAGAGAGAAGGAACTCAGGAGCTATTTGCAACAGTGGTCCCTTGCAAGCTGTTCTAGGGGCTTCCCTCTGAGCTCAAGTAGATAAGAAAAAGAAGGCAAAGAAGAGGTGGCACCTCTCCTTTGGACAGAAGCCCGAAGTTCCTCTTCACAACTTGCAATATTCATTGCATTCAGTGTAAGATGTCTCGCAGATCTGGATTCGGTGGGAATGTCTGGGAGGAGAGTGGCATTGCTTTCTCAGCTTGGAGCCCTAAGAACTGCACCAGAGTACTCAGTTCTTTTCGCAGAGGCGGCTCAGGGCATCCTCCCCAAGCACACACCTGCAGGGTCGAGCGGCTCCTTCTTCTCTCCCTCCCGCTCTCAGGGCAGGACCAAGGTACACTGGCCGGCGTACCGTTAGCCCAAGGGCCACCCTAGCGCCGGCAGGCGTTACCCGGCCCACGGGAGCCCAAGAGCTCCCGGGCCGCTGTCCGAGCTCCGCTTCCCCGAGCCACGCAGGGGCGGCGGCGTGCGCTGGACACCGGCACCGCCAGGATGCATATTGTGATAAAAACTTACGGGAGCCTTTCTACACCTGTGCGGAGGTTGAGGCACAGCCCCCGACTCAGGTTCGGGGACCGCCGTCCCGGCTCGCCCCTCCCTGCGGCCAAGGGGCAGCGGTCCGTACCTGTCCTCCGAAACGCTGATGACTCCCTCCTCCTTGGGAACGATCACGGCCATATTCACCACCTCCTGGGACCCCTCGACCCGCTGCAGCAGGATCGGCTTGCGGATCAGCGGCTTGGGCTGGATCTCCGCCGCCATCGGAGGAGGGGGCGCGCCGGGAGCGCCGCTGCCAACCGTGCAGTGGGACCGGGTGAAGGAGACTGCTCGGCCACAGGCACACGCTGAGACAAGGACTCTGGTTGGCCCGAGAGGGACGCCGGGGACCCGCGATCATAGCCTGGCCGCCGCCCCAGGGACCGGCTCCGCGCTCCCGGCTTCGGGTACCGAAACCGCCACGACCGGCGCTGCAACCCAGAGCCACAACCAGCGGAGGGGGCGGAGAGCCAGGGGGCGGAGTCGATAGGGGGCGGGGCCTGCCGCAGGGGGTGGCCGCTGGTCGGCGCCATGGAAGGCTGCACTTCCGGAAGGGCAGTGGAGGAGGAGGAGCGAAACATCGAAAGGGGCGGGGCGCTGGCGGCTCAACGCGCGTGCGTCTGCCCGCTGCCACTTTACGCCCCGCCCCCCGTAATTCCCAAACCCTTGCAGCGCCTTCTTTAGAACGCATGCGCCTTCCATTCTCTGCGGTTTCCTGCTATCCTAGTCACCATCCACACCCAGTGTTTAGTCCCCTCCCCCTTGAATCTCTCGTGAACGCGCTTGTCCACACCTCCGGGAACGCGCTTGGCGGAATATCCCGGCCTCCTTCCAAATCCTTGAAAAGAGGGCGGAGGGTAGGGCGGGGAAAAGAGCGCCTGGGCGAGGCCGGAAAGGGAAGCAATCAGCAGGAAGGAAAGAAGCCCACCTAGTTGGGACGTGACTGGGCATGCGTACAGGTTACCTGTACAAGCGGCCGTAACAATGAAGTGCAGCGGGAGGTCGCTTACCTCTCACAACGTACACCAGGCCCCAATGACACCCATGGGCTCTTGGGAGTTGTAGTTTCCGGGAGCCTTCCCTCCGTTGTCCTTGAATGACCTATCGCCCACTTCTCTGCCCTCCAGGCCTGGGGAGCTCCGTAGCCCCCTTGGCCATTGGCCGAGTTGTGGCCAGGACTGCTAAATGCAAGGAACTTAGGGACAGCCCTGACTCAACAGGCTGCCCTGTGCCCTTGGTTCAGGCTGCGGTTGATAATGGTGGAATTCCAGGGGTGGGGAAGAAAAGAACCTCTCATGCAAGTGTATTTGAGGGAGTTTAGAGAACATACGTAGAATCAACTTCCTCGTTTTCTTAGATGGCTAGGTTACTGGCCCAAGGTTACTTATCTCCAAGTTAGGGCTGTAGCCCCCCAAACTTGAACCCAGGTCCCCCTGCTCCTGGTCCTGACTTCTTTCCATTCCCCAGCAGTCACGCCTTTACGGCTTGCTCCAGAGACAATGGGAAAAACTTACTGTGGTTATTGGATAAATGTTAGGTTTCTGGTGAGGACCTGGCATGTGACCTCCTTCATCATGTGATAACCCCACTGAGCCATCCAAGATTTAGCAAGCTACCTGAGGGGCAGTCATGGCCTATGTGGTGTGATTGGACTGACAAGGACTCTGGAGGTCAGAAAAATATTAATATTTTAGAGCTGGGGCTAAGAGTGAGACATGCTTGTGGGAACGTATTTCTAAGGCAGGATTTGTCAGCTAGGCAGTATGCCACAAAGGACCTTTCTCAAAGCACAGTGCAACTCTTTACCACTTCCGATCTTTCATTATTGTTGTTGTTTTTAGAGAGAGAAGAAAGGAGAGAGAGAGAGGGGAAAAAAACATTGATTTGTTGTTCCACTTATTCATACATTCATTGGTTGATTCTTGTATGTGCCCTGACCAGGGATCAAATCGACAACATTGGCATATTGGGATGATACAAACCAGCCAGGGCACCACCTCCAGTTTTTGCAGAAATTCTCTAAGGCCCTCGAATGGGCAATTGAGGTATTTTCCAACTTTGAGATGTTGAGTGAAAATATTCCACTTCTCTAAGCCTCAGGTTCCCCATCTAACAAGTGGAGGATAATAACACCGACCTTGGGAGGTTGTTGCAAGGCTTACAAATGACATATTTTAAGTGCCTTCATGCACAATAGTTCCTTTCATTCCATAGCACACCTCTCTTCTCTGCTTATGGAATGTTCTTCCCCATTTTATCTGTCTGACAAACTTTTACTTTTCCCTCAACCCTCGCTCAAGCATTTCATCTGCTGTAATGTTTTTGGGGATCCCTTATCCCATACAGAGTAGATTACGCTCATCCATGTGCCCTTCTTATACCCAGTACAGAGTTAATTTATTGCCTTATCTCATTGTCCATTCGTTATTTATTTAACAGATTTGGCTCCCCAGATAAAAGTTTACCTCCTTGAGGACAGAAACCCAGTTTTTTTTTACCCTTACCCTTGACACCTATGAAATGACTACAGTATATAGGAGTATCCTTAAAATAAACTCTGAGTTTTGTTAATTCTACTGGAAGCATTGATCTCAAGTTGTGTTCCCTGTGTGTAGGTGCGATCTCCTTTGACGCCATAAACTCAAAAAAGGTACAGATCCTCAGAAAAAGTAACTGAGCACAGGTAGATCGGAAGCGAAACACCTGTGCGACTCTAGTTCTTGGGCATCTTGGTCTGGATTTGGAGGAATCTAAAGGTCTTTGAGGGTCCCGGGCATTACTAGTTGCTAATTGATGCTCTCTGCCAAATGAAGGCAATTCAGAAACCAGGCAAGAGAATCTCCTGCTGGAGTCTCAAGGTGCCAGCCAGATCACCCTATTGCATGTCATGCTCCATGCTTTTCTCCTCCTCCCCCTGCCCCTCCCCCTTCTTTTTATCTTCACTCAAGGACATTTTTTCATTGCTTTCAGAGAGAGACACGGGGAGAGAAAGAAACATCAACATGAAAGAGAAACACCAATTAGTGGCCTTCTGTCCACGCCCGGATCAGGGATTGTACATGCCCGAAATGGGGAATGAACCCACAACCTAAGTATGTTCCCCAACCAGGAATCGAACCCACAAACTTTCAGTTATGGGACAACGGTCCAACCAACTGAGTCACATCTACCAGGACTACTTTTATTATTCTTAATTAGAAAGGGGTGGGGCATGCTCTAAATGTTATTCCTTCTCACCTCACAGCTCTGAGAAAAGAATATCACTTTTACCTTTGCTCAACTTACAGTAGCTGAGGGTGGAGTAGTATAGAAACATTTTCAAAAAATGAAATAAAATTGTGACCATTATCAGCAATTTTTTAAACACTCTTGGTAGGGCATGGTATATGTAGCAGAGAAACATAGGAAGCAACTGGGAAATTTGGGGGAAACTGATAATGAATTACCAAATAACAGTGCTCTGCAGATAATAACATTGATGATAGTAATGCAATGCCCTGGAGGACCCTGGGACTCAAAGACGAGAAGCCAGTCACTGTGCAAGATGCTAGTGTCTGTCACTAGAGTTGTAGAAGCAGCAGAAAACAGGCTCTCACACCTTAGTGAAGTCACATCTAAGTGTGATAGCTAGAGACTGTAAATATGCATAAGATAGTATGGTATAAATCAGACGTCTGTTGAGGCGCTGCAGCGACATTACTTGCCTGATTCCTGAAGAAGTGACCAGTGTGGAATGATATTAGTCAGGAAACGCTCTTGAAGAGGTGAGTCACAGGTTTCCAAATAAGAGGCTGACACAACATAGATGCACTCAGAAAACATTATCTTAGCAACTGTGCAGAGAAGGAGCTGAGACAGGGGAGCACAAAGCAGGGCGACCAGGTAGGAGGCAATAATGCAAACGCGGGGACGGCAGCCAGGACTGCTGTGTGGGCTGTGAAACAGAGCCGGGATGATGGAGCGAAAGCAATGCAGAGCCTTGCGTAACAGCGTGGGCTTTGCAGACAGGCTGACTTGGGCTCCCAGCCCGGCTCCACCGCTGGGTAGCTGTGTTACTTGGTTAGCTAATCTACCTGCTCTGTTCCCTCATCTACAAAATGGAGTGTGGGCGTTTGTCGTTTTTGTTGTCCAGTACCTGAACATCTTTCCTAATCTGAGTGACTTCCAACGGAAGCGAAAGCCTCAAGGGAAAGCTTTCCCTCTGCCAACCTCATGTGCCCTGAGCAGGGCCGGCTGATGCTCACTGCACCTCGGTGCGGGGGATAGTGATGCAAAGGCACTGGGGTCAGTTTGAGCGTCTCCGAGGACTCTTGGAGAGATTAGAATCCAGAGGCATCAAGGGGCAGGTCTAGGGAACTTCTTCTCTCGGCTCCCCCCAAACCCAGTCCTCTACCTTCCTATGGATTCTGTGAGTTGCCCAATACCTTTCCAATAAATTCTTTTTCTGCTTAAGTTACCTGCTGTTTGCTTCCAAAAACCCTGACTAAAACAGGGCTCTTTTGAAGACTGAATAAGATGGTATATAGACAGTACATATAAAGCCCTAAACCCAGTACCTGCCATAGGTCAATACTACTTACGGAATTGTTGCTCTAAGAAAAAACAAAGAAAGCATTTGTGACAGACTAGTCACAGACTTTGATAACTCATTAGATGTGGAAGAAGAGTAAAAAGGAAGAATGAAGAGGTAGTGTTAAGTTTAGAAGTTTGCCTTGCACATCCTGTTCTACCTCTAACAAGATTACGGAAACCAACGGAAGGGTGACCTACTCACAGGAGAGTTAGACAGTCTTGGCAAAGCACCAACCTCTCAGCATGGCGACTGACACCACGGTGTTTTACTGACATGACAAAGTCCAAACTTGTTAGCCCAGCACACGAGTTTCTTCATAACTGTGTCTGAACCTGCCTTTCTGGCCCGAATCTTGCCACTCCCTGAAAAGCACCTGACACTGGAGTCCGACCAAGCTGCCTGGCTTCCAAAGAACGCATCGCTGTACTCACGTTATTCTAAGCCTTCACTACTTTTGCCTATTGTGCTCTCTTTGCCCGGAAAGACCTTCTCATCCCCCCTCAATGTCAACTCCTCGTGTAAGACGTGGGTGGCATACTTTCTCTCTGAGGAAGCCCTTCCTCGTCCTTCCGGGCAGACTCTCTCGCCCCTAGCTCTAGGCTCCCTCAGAGTTCTGTCCATGCCTCCCCGATAAGAGCACACTTGATTCTCACATTCTCTTTCTGTCTCTCTCCTTCACTGCCTTACGTGGTCCCAGACACCAGGGACCAGTGTTTGGTCACCCTTGTATCACCATCGCCTGACATTACCTGTCAGGTAGGTGGTCCTTCACAGACTCATTGTCGAATACCCAGAACCCGTCTTTATGTATTTGGTTAGAGATAGAAGGGTATGACTAAGATAATAAATGTGATTTGACCACTCACATAC